TCTTCTTCACAATAAAAACCTTGAAACAGCAAAAATGCTGTGATCTCTTGGGGGGGGATTATGGGGTAGGGGACAGCCTTCTCAACAGTTGCCTTGTGGTTTTTCTCAGCTGAAAAGGTCTGTGTCTCCCTCAGCCTCTCTCTCTGTCTCCCCCACTTCCCCTGAGAAGTACGGGGGTGGGGGGCTGCCAAACACAGGAACTGCTCTAAGGTTCCCCTGAGAGCCAGTTTGGTGTGGTGGTGAAGTGCACGGACTCTAATCTGGGAGAACCGGGTTTGATTCCCCCACTCCTCCACTTGCACCTGCTGGTGTGACCTTGGGCAAGCCGTAGTTCTGATAAGAGCTGTCCTTGAAAAAGAGCCGTTTCTGTCAAGAGCTCTCTCAGCCCCACCTGCCTCACAGGGTGTCTGTTGTAGGGAGGGGAAGGGGAAGGAGTTTGTGAGCCGCTCTGAGACTCCGAGTGAAGGGCAGGGTATAAATCCAATCTCTTCTTCTTCTTCTTCTAATCTGGGAGAACCGGGTTTGATTCCCCACTCCTCCTCCACTTGCACCTGGCTGGATGACCTTGGGCAAGCCATAGTTCTGATAAGAGCTGACCTTGAAAAAAGAGCAGTTCTCTAGAGAGCTCTCTCAGCCCGACCTACCTCCCAGGGTGTCTGTTGTGGGGAGGAAAAGGGCAAGCCACTCTGGGGCTCTTAAGTGAAGGGCGGGATATAAATCCAATCTCTTCTTCTTCTCTTTGGGTTCACCCTCTTGCCTCTGAGCTAGAGGGAGGTGGGTCGGGGGGGGGTTGAGGTCCCACCAAAGCAGGGAAGAGGGTGAGCTAGTGTGCCTCCCGCCCCCACCCCATTTTGTTATCCCAGGAAGTCAGGTGGGCGGTGAGGAGGCAAGATGCGGAGAGGTCTGGATTTGGATCCTGCCAACATGGTGTGAAAATGCTCATGAGGACCCTGCAGGGAGGGGGCAGGCAAGAAGAGGAGGAGGAGGAATACCCTGCCCTTCACTCGGAGCAGCTTACAGATCTCCTTCTACTTCCCCTCCCCACAACAGACACCCTGTGAGGTAGGTGGGGCTGAGAAAGCACTTTTGAGGACTGCTCCTGAGAGAACAGCTCTGAGAGGACTTGTGACTGACCCAAGGTCACACCAGCAGCTGCACGTGGAGGAGTGGGGAATTAAACCCGGTTCTCCCAGATTAGAGTCCATGCACTACACCCAGCTGGCTCTCAAGGGGGGGATGTCAGTCTTGCTTTTGCCAATCCAAAAATGGCCACCCTTTTCTTTTGAAAACCAGCATCATTGTGTGCATTTGGGGGGGGGGGAGTCAGCTTTGATCAGAGAATCCGCATGGGGGGAGGAGGAGTCAAGAGTTTAAAGTCCTCCAAACTGGTGAGCAAGGCCCCATCACGGGACCCCCAGACTGGGTCAAGGGCAACACTCCCTCTACGCTGTCGAGTCCTGTGAGCAAAAATTCTCCTTCGTGAGCTACTGGCATTAAAGCTGTGATTTGGCTGCTGCATAAATGCTCTGGAGCCCCATCCTTCCTGAGCTAAGAGGAAAATCTCTGAGCCAGAGGCTAAAAAACTGTGCGCTGGCTCACACCAAACTCATCCTAGAGGAAACACCGGTCCAGGGCCCTGCAGTGAGCTTGGCTGCTGAGTGGGAATTTGAACTTCGTCCTTCCAGCTCCGCGAGGGCACCCTGCTCTTCCCTTCCTGGTTCCAGCACTCTTGAGTTCGGGGTGCCAACCACCAGGGGGTGGCCGGACCTCTGGGATGATGACTGAGTGCCAAGCAACAGAGGCCGGGTCCCCCGGAAGAAAATGGCTGTTCTTGAAGATGCACTCTATGGCACCGTACCCCACTGAAGTCCCGCCCTCCCCAAACCCTGCCCTCCTCCTCAGGCTCCACCCCCCCCAAATCTCCAGGACCCTTCCCTCCGTTTCCTGATTGCAAGAGCGGAGGTTCCTGAAGTCCTCCAGAAAGTGAAGCAGTGCCATTCAGGCAGGAACCCTGCAACTCCCCCCCCCAGCATGGAGAAGTGGGTCAGGGGCTTCCAGGCTGGGGGCAGGGGTCATTTCCTGCGGGAGCGCACAGGAGCAGAGCTCCAGCAGTAAAGAGCCCAGGGGGCGGGCACATGCAACAAGCCCCGCCCCCTGCTCCTAGCAGTCCTCAGTCAGAGCAAGAAGCAGCCAGGTAAGCTGCAGAGCCCCCCCCCCCTCCAGTGGCACCTTTAAGACCAGGTTTTATTCAGGTACAAGCTCTCCCTCCTCTGCCAGGACAGATATACACGTTCCCCCCCCCCGAATAGCTAGCAATCCAAAACAGCCCAATGGAGCCTGAGTGGTGGGTGTTTCCTTCCGACACACTTCCAGTGATGTCAGGGGGTGTGGCATATGCAAATGAGTTACGCTAATGAGCTCCTGCACCTCTTTTCCTAGGAAATGACCCCTGGCTGGGGGCAGGGGGGGCCTTCTTCCCATGGGCCCATGTGGAAACAGTCTCCCCCCCCCCAGCCTCATGCAATTGTGTCATCTGATAAGTGCCACTGGATTTTTTTAATCAACAAAATGAAGAAAAGTAGTGAACTGTAAAATTGCTAATTATTTTCTAGTAAATTTACTTTTGAATAACTTGAGACACCAATTACAGGCACCATTAAGCTCCATTAGGGGTGGGTGTTGCCGAGGAGGCAAAGGTGGAACAGGCTCTCTCCCGTGAGGCGAGGAACAAAGAGCGT